TTTCCGGCTGGCCGTCCCGGCGTCCGACGTCATTTCCGGTGAAGTGGAACGCACGCTGAGCGGTGCGTTCCAGGGGCCATCTTGCCTAGTGGAGGAAGCTGATTCTGAGGTCTGTCATCCTGCTGGGTTACCTGGCTGTGAGGTCTTATTGAAAGATTTATGGAGAATCGTTATTACTACAATAAAATGCTGGTTATTAACCTTATAAATGTGAGTGGTCTGGTTTAAGGGTTAGTGGGATTGAAAGTCATAACGGTATCACGCTATTTGGCTTTTTTCTTCCTGAATTTTGGTGGAGTCGGTGAGGGGAGGAATCGGAGGAGATTATCTATGTTCTAGAGGAGGCAATATCTGGAGGCTAATAAAAAAGGGGGTCCAGGAGCCCTTAATAATCCTGAAAGGTGTTATACTCACCAAACATCTGGTGAGTGCGGTTCATGTTGGTTTTGCACTGGTGGATGGTGGAAGGACTATTGGCACTGAAGAATTTTTAGCTTTTTTTTTTTTATCACGGGACTTTTTTTGGATATGTCACTGGACTTTATAATTTTCTTGTTTTTTGTATGTGCCACAAAATATATTTTGTTTTTTGACACTTATATATAAATTGTAATAATTTGCATTAATATTGTTTATAGGTTGGGTATTGTATAGATTGCTTCCTGGCGTGTTTTGCGCTGTTTTTAGTTGAAAAAAAATATTTCCTGCATTCACTATATCTGGTCTCCCACAGTACACACAACATGGAAATATTATTTTAGTAAATATAAACTGCTAAATACCTTTTCTCATCAGTGTATATAGCAGTCTTGTGACTTCAGCAGAACACTGGTTAAAGCTTGTAGAAGAAGTTTTCTCTAGGAGGATGGAAATCCCCTGATTTCTGTCTGGACGGTGCTGATTGGCCCTGTGCTGATCACATGCACACTCCCAAGAATAAAAAGAACCGCTCTAGGAATACACAACAAACTGAGCATATGCATGGGGCTACAGATTCAGTTTGTATCAGGTGGTCATTTGAACAAGAGGAGGGGCAGAGAAGACAGGATCCAACACACTTTTTACACAATGCAGAGGATTAACCCCTTAGGTTCCACAGTGAGTATAACAAGCATGCTTTACTGCATCTACAGACGGATTGTACTGTTGGGGGTTTAGTAACACTTTAAACATTACTTTTTAATTATAGAAATTAAATGATCACAAAAATAAGGTTTACACAAATGTTGCAGGTTGCACACTTCTTCAAGCAGAAAGGTAATGTCCGTCCACAAGGCACTTTTTCAATAATGATATAACACGAACTTACAGACCACAGAATCCCTGAGGAGCACTTGCCTTGGAGAAGGTATAAAAAATACTAGGTCATCCTGAGGTCCCCAAAGTTCTTTCTTCTGTCCTTTTATGTTTCTGGTGGAAGACAGTTCCAAGAAGCTGGCACAGGAGATACCGTGTAAAGGAAGACCTTCTTTTCCTATTCTTCCTTGTCAGGTTCCTCTCCATATAACTCTGCTCCTACTCTCTCCATACCAAGTGGGGCTGTATCTCCAACCTACTACCACATTGCGGGCACATCAAATGACGCAGATTCTGCTATTTAAAGCAATTCTAAAGGTTAATTTTTTTTTTTTCGTAAGGGAAGACCTACTTTTTTTTATCTTGCTCCTTGTCAGGTACCTCTCCATAACTCTGCTCCTACCCTCTCCATAACAAGTGAGGCTCTATCTCCAACCTACTACCACATTGCGGGCACATCAAATGACATAGATTCTGCTATTTAAATCGATTCTAAAGGTTCATTATTTTTTTTTTTTCTAAGGGAAGACCTACTTTTTTTGTCTTCCTCCTTGTCAGGTACCTCTCCATAACTCTGCTCCTACTCTCTCCATAACAAGTGAGGCTCTATCCCCAACTTACTACCACATTGCCGGAACAACAAATGATGCAGAATCTGCTATTTGTAAGCACTTCTTTATCTAAATGGTCATCCAAATCTCTTACAGACCACAGAATGCCTGAGGAGCACTTCCCTTGGAGAAGGTATAAAAATACTAGGTCATCCTGAGGTCCCTCAAGTTCTTTCTTCTGTCCTTTTATGTGGCTGTCGGTGGAAGACAGTTCCAAGAAGCTGGCACAGGAGATACCATGTAAAGAAAGACCTACTTTTCCCATTCATCCTTGTCAGGTACCTCTCCATAACTCTGCTCCTACTCTCTCCATAACAATTGGGGCTGTATCTCCAACCTACTACCACATTGTGCTCACATTAAATGACGTAGATTTTGCTTTTTAAAGCAATTCTAAAGGTTAATTTTTTTTTTTTTGTAAGGGAAGACCTACTTTTTTTTATCTTGCTCCTTGTCAGGTACCTCTCCATAACTCTGCTCCTACTCTCTCCATAACAAGTGTGGGTCTATCTCCGACCTACTACCACATTGCGGGCACATCAAATGACACAGATTCTGCTATTTAAATCGATTCTAAAGGTTCATTTTTTTTTTCTAAGGGAAGACCTACTTTTTTTGTCTTCCTCCTTGTCAGGTACCTCTACATAACTCTGCTCCTACTCTCTCCATAACAAGTGAGGCTCTATCCACAACTTACTACCACATTGCCGGAACAACAAATGATGCAGAATCTGCTATTTAAGCATTTCTTTATCTAAATGGTCATCCAAATCTCTTACAGACCACAGAATGCCTGAGGAGCACTTCCCTTGGAGAAGGTATAAAAATACAAGGTCATCCTGAGGTCCCCAAAGTTCTTTCTTCTGTCCTTTTATGTGGCTGTCAGTGGAAGACAGTTCCAAGAAGCTGGCACAGGAGATACCATGTAAAGAAAGACCTACTTTTCCTATTCTTCCTTGTCAGGTAACTCTCCATAAATCTACTCCTACTCTCTCCATAACAAGTGAGGCTCTATCCCCGACTTACTACCACATTGCCGGAACAACAAATGATGCAGAATCTGCTATTTAAACACTTCTTTATCTAAATGGTCATCCAAATCTCTTACAGACCACAGAATGCCTGAGGAGCACTTCCCTTGGAGAAGGTATGAAAATACTAGGTCATCCTGAGGTCCCCAAAGTTCTTTCTTCTGTCCCTTTATGTGGCTGTTGGTAGAAGACAGTTCCAAGAAGCTGGCACAGGAGATACCATGTAAATAAAGACCTACTTTTCCTATTCTTCCTTGTCAGGTAACTCTCCATAACTCTGCTCCTACTCTCTCCATAACAAGTGTGGCTCTATCCCCGACTTACTACCACATTGCCAGAACAACAAATGATGCAGAATCTGCTATTTAAAGCGATTCTAAAGGTTCTCTTTTTTTTCTAAGGGAAGACCTACTTTTTTTGTCTTCCTCCTTGTCAGGTACCTCTCCATAGCTCTGCTCCTACTCTCTCCATAACAAGTGAGGCTCTATCCCCGACTTACTACCACATTGCCGGAACAACAAATGATGCAGAATCTGCTATTTAAGCACTTCTGTGTCAAAATGGTCATCCAAATCTCACAGGATTTCATCATCTCCAAGATAGTCACCATAAGTTCATAATAAGGAAACATTAGTCCTCAATGGTTTCCTGCCAGCCTGAAGTAGCATCAAGACCCCTCTGTATAAAGCGATTCTAACTCTGGTCTATGAGAGTCTCCATGTTGGAGCATATGTAGCACAGGATAAATTAAGGGCAGGTATATCTTGAAGGATCCTATTCGTCCATAAAGGAGAAGGGACACAGCAGACACCCAGGACCTTACTACAGGTACACAAGGCCATATACCAGACATTGTGGGCACCTTTCTGTGCCCAGGATACACAGCTTCCTCATCCAGCTGACCATAGTAATGAATGGCTATATGTATGTATGCAGTGCTTGTGAGCTACTATGGTGTATTGAAACCAATTTTAAACTATAAATCAATAAATAAATAATATTCTTGTGGTTCTGTAACTGTGCATAACTCTACCCCCCACTACCTGTGTAAACCTTTTCATGTGTTTAGGCATTTAATTGTGGAAAAAAAAATCATTTGCATCCAGCAGCATACCACTATAGGCATGTACAATGCTGTGAAAAAGTGTTTGCCCCTTTCCTATTTTGTTTTTCTAATTTGTCACATTTAAATAATTCAGATCATCAAAAAAATTTTACTATAACACAAAGATAACCTGAGAAAATACAAAATGCAGCTGGGGGGGGGGGGGACAGAAGACTAGAGACAGCTGGAAAAGGTAAAACTGGGACTTGCCGACAGTACGTGCAGTACGGCCCCCTGACATATTTTTTTTTTTTTTTACTGCGCTCTCCGATCTGAAAGGCGATATCCTGTGTTGCACACGACTCACGTGGCTTTTATTTTTTTCATCCCCGCTTAAGGTTACAGTACACTTTTTTTTCCCTACATCATTCATCCCAAAATATCAAAAATACCATGGCTCTGCTTTATTTTTTTAAGTCTCTCTTAGGCTGCATTCACACCTGAACGTCACTTTTTTTCGGGCGTTTGTATGCACATTTTTTGAGCATTTCTGTACAGAGTTTTTAAAGCATTTTAGAGCTTTGTCGGGTTTTTTTTCAATGGCCAATAGAGAAAAATGTCATCTGCGTCATCATGTGTTGCGGTTTTTCATCTTTTTTATCCACTTTTATTCATTATTTATTAAATATTAATTTACTGAATTAATTAATTTCCATGAGGTCCCAGTGACTAAAAGATTCTTCTGGACGAAGTTTGAATATCTCTTTTCAAGTAAAAGAAAACAGAACCACTTTGCATAAGGTGTCCCCATCAGAGTACCTCTTAGTTCAGTTGCTTCCATCAGAGTACTCCTTTCTATCAGGTGTCACCTTCAGAGTACCCCCTCATATCAGGTGTCCCCATCAGAATAACCTCATATATCAGTTGTCCCCATCAGAGCACCCCCTTAAATCAGGTGTCCCTATCAGAGTGGCCCAATACATCAGGTGTCCCTATAAGAGTGGCCCAATACATCAGGTGTCACCAGGGGCGGACTGACAACTCATGGGGCCCCTGGGCAATAGGGGATCATGGGGCCCCTGTGTCCTTGCCCAAACTCAAAAAAGCCTATGAAAAAGGTACCAGGGGCATCTCATGGGGCCCCCTACTGACCCGGGGCCCTCGGGCAGTGCCCGAGTTTCCAAATGGTCAGATATGATCCCGCCTCTGGGTGTCACCATACATAAGGTTCCCCCATCAGTGTGCCCTCACATCAGGTGTCCCCATCAGGGTGCCCCTTTACATCAGGTATCCCCATCACACATATGATGTCACTGGTTGCTATGACGCAGTCAATCCTAACAACCAATGACTGCAGCTTAGTGAGGATCCAACAGAGCAGAGTAGTGGGCTGATGGTCCAGACTGGGCTGTCAGTAGGTCCGGATCCAGACCGCAGTTCGTCATTTAGTGAAGGCTGCTCTAGTCCATAGCCTTCTCAGGACCAACCAAGAGAGGGTGGCTACGTTCCTACACACCATGGAAAACAAACCCATAGTCCATAGTTCATTTCAGGAGCAAGCAAGAGAAGGTGGCTATGTTCCTACACTCCATAGAGAACAAATCCCATAGTCCATAGCCCATTTCAGAAGCAAGCAAGAGATGGTGGCTATTTTCCTACACACCATGGAGAACAAAACCCATAGTCCATCTCAGGAGCAAACAAGTGTGGGTGGCTACATTCCTACACTCCATGGAGAACAAATCCCATGGTCCATCTCAAGAGCAAGCAAAAGAGGGTAGCTACATTCCTACACACCATGGAAAACAAATTCCATAGTCCATCTCAGGAGCAAGCAAGAGAGGGTGGCTATGTTCCTACACACCATGGAGAACAAACCCCATAGAACTGGGGTGGGCAACTGTGGCCCTCCAGCTGTTGGTGAACTACAAGTCCCATCATGCCTCTGCCTTTGGGAGTCATGCTTGTAACTGTCAGTTTTGCAATGGCTCCTGGGACTTGTAGTTCTACAACAGCTGGAGGGCCACAGTTTCCCACCCCTGCCATAGAACATAGCCCATCTCAGGAGCAAGCAAGAGAGGGTGGCTTCCTTCCTACACACCATGGAGAACAAGTACCATTAGTCCATAGCCCATCTCAGGAGCAAGTAAGAGAGGGTGGCTATGTCCCTACACACCATGGAGAACAAACCCCATAGTCATTAGCCCATCTCAGGAGGACGTAAGAGAGGGTGGCTATGTTCCTACACACCATGGAGAACAAACCCCATAGTCATTAGCCCATCTCAGGAGGAAGTAAGAGAGGGTGGCTATGTTCCTACACACCATGGTGAACAAACCCCATAGTCATTAGCCCATCTCAGGAGGAAGTAAGAGAGGGAGGCTATGTTCCTACACACCATGGAGAACAAGCCCCATAGTCATTAGCCCATCTCAGGAGCAAGCAAGAGAGTGTGGCTTCCTTCCTACACACCATGGAGAACAAATACCATTAGTCCATAGCCCATCTCAGGAGCAAGCAAGAGAGGGTGGCTATGTTGTTTCTACACACCATGGAGAACAAACCCCATAGTCCATAGCCAGTCTCAGGAGCAAGCAAAAGAGGGTGGCTATGTTCCTACACACCATGGAGAACAAATGTATCCATCCTCTAACAGGAAGTCAGATTACAGCAGCATAAAAAAGGAAATCTGGAGATTTGGAGGAGGCTACGAGCAATAAAAGGGACATTTATGAATGAACTACTTTGCCTCTTTGGACATACTACGTATGTCCAGAGAGTATGGCATCTAGAACAGGCTCATAGCTGCAGTAGAAGTCATGAGCTTGTTACTGTTTTAATAACCCGACTCCCAGCTGTCATGCAAAAATGATATGGATGGCTTTATAGTCGCCTGATCACTTTACAGTGCAGGCTGTGTGGCCCCTCCCCCCAATGGTTCATGGACTCTCCTGCTTGTTAGCCCCAGTGTGATAGCAATAAAGATAAATGAAAAAAAAGTTTGTATGAATTAATTATAATAAAATGTATTAATAAAAAATTACCCCATCACCCTGTACACATGTAGCACCCCCAGGACAGGATAGTACCGCCAAAGGGCAGAGAGTGAACTAGCATTTGCCTCAGAGCTGAGTCCATGGCTAGAAAGGGGAAATTTGAACAGAAATTGGGCGCCAGTCACTTTAGATCTTTTTCAAAGCTTTAATTTTGAACTTGACTAGGAATGGGTGTGGAGGGTTGGGGGTCTCAGATGCCATGCAGATCACTTACAGACTCCTTGAATGCCAGAACAAAGTCCAGCTTCACAGTGTCAGAACCTTTAAGATGACCCGGCAACACTGCAAGCTCATTTTCAATGTCTAGTGCGTCCCCCAAGCGAGTTACCAAGCCCTTCTGAGAGACCAGCCTTCATCCTGGCTCTCTCCAGCAAGTGGCCTCTCCTGGATCTTCTCACCTTGGCTCTGTTTCCTCCACACCGGTCAGGACCACTTCAATACAGAAAGGCCCCAACCAGTCTTCTGGGCCTAACACCGAGTTCTCTCCAGCAGCAGCTCCTCAGGCCTTAAGCCTGAGGCAAGAGAGCCGGGAAAAGGGCCTGTCCCAAACATATATATCCTCTCCCAGAATGCACCGGTAGCACATACGACCTCCTACTGGGCTGTCTGGAAGAAATAGAAATATTAATTCTAGCTGAGATTAGGGGAAAGCCAGAAAAAAATTGTATAATCAGTCTGAGCCAACTACAACTCAACCAAAAACGAAATTTGTATAGTAGCCCCCATTTAGGACCGGGGGCTAGCAATGGTATTGGTCACTATATAATGACATACCTATAGATATTATTAACAGAAATATATTCATTTATTGTATATGTACACGTACATAGGTAGGATAGAGGGTGAGTCATAAAAGATAGAAATATTAGTAAATGATTCTGTCCTTCCATATAAGGGCATAGAATCTAAAAGTATGAAAACAACAACATAAGAAAGTACATAATGAATCACGGCCTATCAAAATGCAGCATCGTGAAATAAATGCCGAAGGGCATATAGCGTTTTCTTAAAGAAAAGGGACGAAACTAATGGCGTCATTCAGCTCGGGGAATCGGGTAGCCTTAGGATTTAAGATCCGTCTAGTCTCAACTTGTAAGATATTATTGAAATCTTCCCGAAACTGTAATGAAGCCGCTTTGTATTTGTGATGAATATACTGCAACTCATAGCACCAAGCAATAACATTCTGTCCTTTTTGCTTCCATTATCGGGACTGCTGAAGTGATGGCAAAACAAACTTGTGGCTGAAAGCGGGGTTGACATACACCATATTGACAAAAGTATTGGTCGGCCGGCCTTTCCACGCACATGACCTTTAATGGCCCCCCAGTCAGTCCGTAGGGTTCAATATTGAGTTGGCCCCGCTCTTTGCAGCTATAACAGCTTCAACTCTTCTGGGAAGGCCGTCCACAAGGTTTAGGAGGGTGTCTATGGGAAGGTTGGACCATTCTTCCAGAAGCACATTTGTCAGGTCAGGCACTGATGTCGGGGGAGGAGGCCTGGCTCACAGTCTCCACTATATATCATCCCAAAGGTGTTCTATGGGGTTGAGGTCAGGACTCTGTGCAGGCCAGTCAAGTTCCTCCACCCCAAACTGGCTCCTCCATGTCTTTTTGGACCTTGTATTGTGCACTGGTGCACAGTCATGTTTGAACAGGAAGGGGCCATCCCGAAACTCTTCCCACAAAGTTAGGAGCATGAAATTGTCCAAAATGTCTTGGTATGCTGACGCCTTAAGAGTTCCCTCACCCAACCCCTGAAAAACAACTCCACACCATAACCCTTCCTCCTCCAGTGAGGCAGGTACTGTTCTCCTGGAAACCGCCAAACCTTAGTCCATTGGATTTCCAGACAGAGAATTGTGACTTGTCGCTCCCGAGAAACACGTCTTCTCTGCTCTTGAATCCAGTGGCAGCGTGCTTTACACCACTACATCCGACACTTTGCATTGCACTTGGTGCTGTAAGGCTTGGATGAAGCTGCTCGGCCATGGAAACCCATTCCATGAAGCTCTCTACGCACTGTTGTTGTACTCATCTGAAGGCCACACCAAGTTTGGAGGTCTTTAGCTATTGACTCTGCAGACAGTTGGTGACTTCTGCGCACTGTGCGCTTCAGCATGCGCTGACCCCGCTCTGTCATGTGACGTGGCCTACCACTTGGTGGCTGAGTTGCTGTTGTTCCCAGTGGCTTCCACTTTGTTATAATCCCACTAACAGTTGAGTGTGGAATATTTAGTAGCCAGGAAATGTCACGGATGGACGTATTGCACAGGTGACAACCTATCACGGGACCACGCTTGGAGTCACTGAGCTCCTGAGAGCGACCCATTCTTTCACAAATGCTCGGCCATGGAAACCCATTCCATGAAGCTCTCTATGCACTGTTGTTGTGCTAATCTGAAGGCCACACCGAATTTGGAGGTCATTATGAAGGCCATGACTAGGTACGGAGATGGTCTGGATAAATATATGGATACAGTAGATTCAGGTAAACCTGTCGATACGTTGTTCATCACCAAGTTCAATGACCAACATTGGGCTATCAAAAGGGCCATAGAGAAGCATTGGCCAATCTTAAAATCGGGTCCTGCCCAGGGGCGGACTGGCAACTCATGGGACCCCCGGGCAATAGGGGATCATGGGACCCCTGTGTCCTCACCCCCACACTTAAACCACACCCAAAACAGCCTATGAAAGGTACCAGGGGCATCTCATGGGGCCCCTTACTGACCCCGAGCCCTCGGGCAGTGCCCAAGTGCCGGAATGGTCAGTCCACCCCGATCCTGCCCTAAATAAAGTACTTTCCAATACCCCAAAGTAGTATTTAGGAGAGCCAACAATGTTAAGATTATTGTTGCTCCTAGTTGCAATAAGGCTCCATGTACACTGCAGCTGATAAACTCACGTTTAGGAGCTTTTCTGCGGTTTTTTTTTTCAGCAGCCCCTGAACTCCCCCTAATGTTCTCCTATGTGTCTGTGTACACATCGTTGTTTACAGGCATTTGAGTTTACAGTCATTTTTTTGAACGCACCAAACTTGCATTCAGCAGTCGATGTTGT